AAGATTTTATTTGTAAAAGATTTTAACTGTGCCTGCCTTGCAAACCACTCTAACCCACTAATCTTGCTTTAAACTCCGAATCCATCCAGGAAACCCGCCTAGAAGTCTAAAGCGCAACTACAATCATGACCTAAAATATAACTAACCTTCTCCAGTTTATAAGTTTTTGTCGTTGAGTGATTGCTTCATCATGTCAATCAAGTCATTACATATATTAAATCCTCAAAGATGCTTATTATAAAATTATTTATGAATTGAATATAATAAAATTTAAAAAAAAAAAAATTATAAAAAATATGTTCAAGTTTTTTTTTTAGCATACAAATACTAATAATCAATATCAATTTCTGTTGTCCTACTAAGTATGCCCCACCAACAGATAAGTCTTATGTAGTCAAATACCTACCTATTGGAAAATGTCAGAGAAATCGATTTCGTGGTTTTATCCTTTCGCAAATCGAATATTTCGCGCAGTGGTATGGGAAAAGTGCACGCATAAGTAATACATAAATTACGTATAATTGAAAGAACATGTAGACATTTATTTACGCGATCTGCCGGAGCTTGTTCAGCTGCACCATATAATTTTATTGCGAATTGTATGATGAAAGAGAATATTTTATTGTTACTATATTATTACCCTTAATCTCTCGTTTTCGATCGATCACTATTGCACTTCCAGTTACGCCCACGAACTTAACATATAATATTCGAATTATTATATTATATTATAGGAGATGTATGTAATAAGTATTGCGCAATATACCGTATACATGATACACGGATACTTATACATTTCATTTATTAAAATACCTACTAGATATAATCGATACATTGAAATTTTAATATTAATTACATTTTTCACGAACATATGATCTTAATCGTTATTATCATTTTCCGAAATTCCCAACAGTTTCTTTCGTTTCCGTACGAACACTTTCAATGTTTAATGTATTTTTTTTTTTTAAGCCAAAGCAAAGATGGTCCTGTTTGCCACGTCTTCGATCTCTTACTTAGGGCAGGATATTTCGAAATGAATATTTATAATATACTCGATCTATACATTGATTTCGTTACCACAGTAGAAAATACATGATATTATACAAGACACACAAGATACAATTACATCTAAAATATACGTACTTAAGATACTTGCATCGAAGATACTGCCCTAGCCTGTCCAAGACACACGATTGTTATAACATAGATTTAAAAAAAAAAAACAAAAAAAAACGCTCGTTCTTTTCGAAAAGTCCGTGGCGTTTAATATAAACGGTAATACTAAAATATTGTAACTGACGATTATAATATTATGCAGTATTGTAATAATGCGATTCGTATATTATTATACCCGCGGTTAGTAGTCAGCCGCTGTTCAAAAACGAGAAATTAATTCGACGTATTAATAATTCAACATTATATTTTATGTGCATTACAGTTCAAAAGAATGCTTAACAAAGAGCTTAGTCACTTTTCCGAGTCGAGCAAATCCGGAAATCAAATATCTGAGTACATTTGTTCTACGTTCCTCGGTAAGTATAATAATAATTGTATTTGATCTTATGTATCTTATTCCCTCAACTTTCTCACTCGTATTTCTTAAAATTCGATTTTCTCCCAGTCGATTTCGTTCGTCGGTATTTATATATATATATATATATATATATATATGTATACACTTCTACCACTAATATACTTATATACCTCAAAACGTATACGATTTTATTCACCGAATCGGTAATCGTAATTCGAAAATATATATAAAATAAATAATATAATATAAAGAACGTACGAGCATCCGCAGTGATGACGTACAGCCAAATCTGGATGGCACAGATATCTGAAATTTCAAACACAGACAGCTAGAGTAAGTCCCATCGACTTCGAAGTCGGATTTTTAAATTTCAATTTATTCATATACACTTAGATTTTCGGGATGAAAATCCAATTTATTTTTCATTAATTTCCGCATAATGTTTCCTGTGGTTTACGTGTTATTTTATAATATATAGATGAATAAATCAAAGAAAAAGTACCAAAAAGTCGTAGATAGCGAATTTTCATCACATGGTAACCATGGAAATTGAGAAATCAATAAAAAAAAGTTAAAATTATTCAAGTGTGAGCACCCATAATTGAAATTGAAATTCAAAATCAAGCTCCGTCAGTTGTGTGACATATCGATTTTAAAAAAACCAATATCTGAGCATAGAAAATACAATTCTACATTACTTAATTAACGGAATCGAATAATTTATTGTTATTGTCACGATGTTCGTTACAGACAAACAACAAGAGCTGGATATTCCGTCGTTGCGCGTGGACGAAAACCAACAGGACGAGGGCCGGCAAACGAGCAAGTCGGCGGGATCGTCCGCCGGTGGTGCGTCCACCAGTGGTTCTCAATGCAGTTCTCAGTCCAAAAAGAAAGACATTAAATCCAAAGTAACTCCAATGTCTCACATATCGGGTGTAAAACGGGCCTTATCGCACACCAACAGTTTTGCCGGAGATCGGCCACCGAGATACGGCGTGGAAACGCTGAAGGAAGAAGAACTGGGACAAGTGAGTCACTCCATGCATGTCGACAAACGATCCTCCTTTTTCTACGGCGAGCATATCTTTCGACATTAATTTTTAATGATTGAAAAAATTATTTGTTCGCCGACTATGATGAAACGAACTGAAAATGTTAAGGTGGATTAATGGTGCGATTTATAAATTGCAATGCAGCAATAAAAATAAGTAGATAATAAAATTGAGATCGTGTGACCATATTGAGAGAAAGAAAAACGATACGTCAGATCAGCATTCCTCAGCCTTTTTAATGTCGTGACCCCCAAAATAGATAAAAATGAAGTCAGTTACCTCATGATCCTCTCGCCCCCTTATAATAAAAAATAATATATTATAATTATATAATATAATAAAATATTTTAATCATAATATAAACTATAACTTTTTCGTTTTTCTAATTATGGTTATGTATTAATTTTTAATTTTAATGTAAATAAAAGGTTTGATTATTTCTGACTGATGTACCTCTCATCTAAGAGTTCGCGGCCCTCCGGTTGAGAAACGCTTCGTTAGATGACAGGTGAACTGAGTGTGAAGATAGAAACCGAAAGTAAGAAGTAAATCAAAGAAAAAGTGGCTAAAGATTCTTGAGGAAATATGAAGGCACGTGATTGAAGAAATGGAAACGAATATGAGACGTTGAGATATGAATGGCAAGAATACGAATATAATAGCCGGCAGTGTTTGCGTGGCATAAAGACAACCAAGAAGAAGAAAAGACTCGTTTTACCGACCCATCTGTTTGAAAGTTTAAAGTAATACATTATTATAACAACAAAGTCATTAACGTAAGACGAAGATCGTGTAATAACCGTTAATCGTCGTTCGTTTGTCGAGAATACTCGTTGGGTATCGCGTAGGCCGATTAGGTTAATCGCGTATTATATACCTACGGTGGCCTAATAACGTTTAGTTATAAACTTTAATAATATCGTTTACGTTGCAGACACTGGCCGAAATAGACAAATGGGGCATCGACATTTTCCGGATAGCCGATCTGACCAACAACCGGCCGTTGACGGCAATAGCGTACACCGTGTTCCAGGTGGGTGTTTCTAAGACCTGACCAAACTTTTAACTAATATTGCGTTCTTTATTTTTTAATGGCCATTATTTTGTAATTTTTAGAACCGGGAACTCTTACAAACGTTCATGATACCGGCGAAAACTTTTGTGGCGTTCATGATGACTCTAGAGGATCATTACGCCAAAGACAATCCTTTCCACAACAGTACGCACGCGGCGGACGTGGTCCAGTCCACCAACGTTCTGCTAAACTCGCCGGCGTTAGAGGTAACGAATCATAATACTATTATACGTGCAGTTGAGATCGATTATTACGAAATGTTTGAAAATAATTATTTTTGAAATTGATATAATAGTTACAATACTTTTTTGAATTGAATGAAAACCAAAATGTTTTATCATTTAGGGAGGTTTGGAGTATCAATAAATGCAATATGATATTGTTTTATTCAATTATTATTATCAATGCGGTCTTTTTCAGAGCGTTTTCACGCCATTAGAAATTACGGCCGCCCTCTTTGCGGCTGCCATACACGATGTCGATCACCCCGGACTGACCAATCAGTTTCTCATCAACTCGAGTAAATATACTACTATCCAATAATATAACCGATCGTAATTGTTTTATTTTTGTCTGGTGACTATATATTTTTTCGCATGTAGGTTCTGAATTGGCTTTAATGTACAACGACGAATCCGTACTAGAAAACCATCATTTAGCGGTGGCTTTCAAACTCTTACAAAATGACGGGTGTGACATATTCCAGAACGTTAGCAAAAAACAGCGGCAAACTCTTCGTAAAATGGTCATTGACATGGTATGTGACCAGTTATTTATATAATAATAACGATAAAAATGTACTTTAAGTTTGAACATAATAATTATAATCATTTGTACATTATTGTAGGTGCTTTCAACTGACATGTCCAAACATATGAGTCTGTTGGCCGACCTCAAAACTATGGTTGAAACAAAGAAAGTGGCCGGTTCCGGCGTTTTGCTGTTGGATAATTATACGGACCGGATACAAGTATGTATCTAATATTAATCGTATCTTCTACAAAATTTTGATTTTTTTTTAATAGACAAAAAGATAATGAGTTTGTAAGGGACAGTTAATAATACAAGGGAGAATAAACTGGAGTGATTCATCCAGAAGCTGTAAAACTGGAATTGAAAATGGAAAAACAAATGGCAAGAGCAATACAATTAAGAGTAAGATACGTTTGAGAACGATATGAGGACTGCTAGGGAGTGCATAAATGGTGTGCGAAACCGTGTTGGGTGGATATTTAGGAGTTTAATATGACAGTTTGGAAAATACATAAAGGAGTAGAATACCGTTCTACACCCGTTCAGGGAATATAATATAACAAATATGAACGACCAATGTATAATATAGGTATTGCAAAACTTGGTACACTGTGCCGACTTGAGCAACCCAACCAAACCGCTGGAACTATACAAGCGTTGGGTTGACCTTTTGATGGAGGAGTTCTTCCAGCAGGGTGACAAAGAGCGAGAACAAAACCTGGACATCAGTCCGATGTGTGACAGACACAGTGCTACTATCGAAAAATCACAGGTAAACTCTATTAGTTTTAGCCCAGTATACTGAATTATAACATTATTAATTGGAAATTTTCAGGTCGGGTTCATCGACTACATCGTGCATCCACTGTGGGAAACGTGGGCAGATTTGGTACATCCGGACGCCCAGGAAATACTCGACACACTCGAAGAAAACCGGGATTGGTATCAAAGTAAGTGCGTTTTACGTCACGCACACGTGCAACTTGGATATACGATATACAAAATTATTTGGAGACTTACACCAAGTCTGTGGATTTATTTCTAAATATAATATAAAATCTTTAATCAAATGTTAAAGTTAAACATTCGATGATTTGTTTAAAAGTTTGCTGTACGAGTCTGGTATATTTCGTATGAAAAAGTAGAGTATTTTAATGTCGTTAAATTCGTTTTTCCGACCTATACAACTATGAAACATTTTTAGGGGGGATTAGAGGCTTGGAGATGCTCGTTCTAGTATTTCTTGACAATCGGTTTGCTGGGTATCACTATAACGAACCCGACCCAATAAAATCTAACTTAACCTAACGTGGTTTTTGTTCGCCACAGGTATGATCCCGCCCAGCCCACCGAACAACGAGTCCGAAGACCGGGATAGCGGAGACGACGATTCCAAACCGTCGGCCGGCGATCAAGACCCGAACATCAGATTCCATGTGACGCTGGAAGAAGGCGACGAAGACTCGGTGGCAGCAATGTGACGCAAACTGGTCGGCTGGTGTCGCAAACTGGGCGAAAAGGTCAACTCCTGGTGGAGAACCAAATGAATAAAACCAAAAATATAATATAATATAATATATAATATAATATATATATATATATTTTATAAAGAACGGCGTCGAGTCGTCGCATTCCCCAATACCCCCCTTTACGCCCCTTGCCAAACCCCTTGCTCCCCTTCCTCCCAACAAACCGTAACGTGTGTGTATTTGTGTGTGATGTTCCACGTGTATAATATTATATTATTATTATTTGTGTGTGTAATGCATCTACGGAAACTATCCGCTTTTTTCAAAAAAAAAAAAATTTTCAGTCTGTGTAAAAAAAAAAAAAAATATAAAAATAATAACGATAATATATACGTACCTATATAATATAAAGATAAATACTAAAAAACAAAAAAAAAAATTACAAAATGTATAATTTATTAATTGCAAATTCCTTTAATCTCATTTACATGATGTAGTTATTTATAATATCGATTATTATTATGTGTACTATTATTATTGTAACGGATGTAATGTAACACGAAAAAAAAAAACACTTTATTATTAATATATATATTAATTATATTTCGATGTAATTTTGTTGTTATATACATTTAGAAACGTATTATTAATATTTTAGTTTCGTGTTGTTTCGGAGAGAGAATTTGCTGTTCGTTTGGTTTTTTTTTTTTTTTAATTTTAATTTGTTTAAACCGTGTTTTCGTGTCGTAGTATTATAATATGATAATAATATAATAAAATTCATCTTTTTGATTTTTCTAATAATATTATATCTTTCTCGTTTAGTCATTATTTTTAATAATATTTTATCGATGTTGTAGCTGTTTAAAAACTAAAAAAATAATAATAATAATAATAAAAATTACGTTACGTATTATACAAAATGTACGGCGATAATACCAAAAAAAAAAAAAATTGTCGTAAAATTAATAGTGTAATATTATTAATTATAATAATAACCGTGTATCTTTGGACATATTATTATATTATAATTTTAAGTATAACGTTATTATTGTAAACAGAATATTATACGTCTTCACCCCTCCCCGAAAATGAACCTAACCTGACTAAATACAATGTAATTATACCGCGTGACGAAATAACCTAACCTATACATAATACTATTGCACGAGTTTCAACTAATCACCCGCTCTCTTTTGCGGAAATGAACGTCATCGGAATTCTTTTTAAATTTAAATTCTTTTCTTTTTTTTTCTGACACTTTCCCCCCTCATTTTCCGTTCGTTTTTAGAACATTTATTATGAAAACCGACAACGCGATGCGCGCCACACACTTTATAATTTTGTAACTTTTTACCCTCCGCGAAAGCATTTCTCCGATATTTTCGAACTGTACCGAACGTTTACCTTCCGTCCGTTCGCATCACGCCTCACGCGATCCTCGTTTCCTCAGGTCAGGTTCATTAAACTATTATAATATTATGTTCTAAACGAAAATTTCAACGATCGCGGTTCTACTTGTCAATTCACTCGGCATTTCTCTTCCGATTTAATAATAATAATTTAGTCTGTTATCATTTATACCTATTATATGATAATAGATAATGTTGTTTAGAAATAGGTGTATACTATTATATACTTTCAGAATAATATAACTACTACGTTACCTTTGTCTGTATTACACTTATATATTATATTATGTATATAATAATATTATATAATTAATAATGATAACGTTTGTTTATTATTATTATTATTGTACCGTTAGCGTGTGTGTATCGGTGTTATAATGTTTAACTACACTGTATAGTCAATCATTTTTCGCTGAATAAACTGTACAAATTTCCACCCTCCTCGATCCCCACCCCCTCTTATCCATCCCAAAGATCGTTCGATTTTTCTAAATGTAAAAATTAAAAAACCAAAAAAAAAAAAGATATTAAAACCATCATGTTTGACTGTCTATACTATTATATAATAATTTTTTTATAAGCTTGGTAAATTCAGGGTCCCCAATTTTTGTCCAAATTTCCTACATAGTATTTTACTATTCGTTTTCGTTTCAAATCTCGACATATATATATATATATATTTCTATTATAACAATATTATGTACGTATAAACGATAGTGATTATTATGATACGTCTCTTCCCGTTAAAAAAAACAAAAACAACAAAACGCTTTAAACCGTATATTATACAATATACCTGTATAGCGTAAAATGCGTCCTTTAAAAAAAATACAACGCAGTTATATCTTTCGCGAGCCTATCACTATTTAATTATTAGCATTATTATTACCTATATGTTTTATATTATAATCACTCAGGTCGTGCGCGTGTGCGCTTCAGTGTTTTTCGAGCCCTCGATTTTCAAAAAAAAAAATAATAATAATAATAATAATAATAAATAAACAAATAACAGATTTTTGTTCAAAAACGGGTTTCGACCGTAGTGCCTGATGGAGGACCATTTTTGTTTCGTCTCCCACGCATCGGCGTATTACATAAAATAGTCGAGTCCGTCACGCGAATGGACTGCACACGCGTGCGGGCGTAGGTACCTATAATATGCATTATATTATATACGTATTCGTGTGTTTATCAAGTAAAAATAAAAAATAAAATTTAAAAAAAAAAATATATACATTATTAATTTATTATTTTTATTGATTATTAATATTATTGATTATTACGATTATTATTATATGATTATTATAATATTATTATGTCCATATAGGTCTGTAATATTTTGTACCAAATAGATCGAATAAAAATTATGAAAAAAAAATCGGTACAATACATATATATATATAACAAGTATCATATCGTGTTTCAGTGGTATTGTTATATTTTGCGTTTTTGACACTGCATACGTATTACATTACATAAAGTTGAATAGAGTTTGTGACTGTACGTTTTCAGTCAGATGGAAACGTGCCGATTTCGGACCATATGCGTTTCAGTGTTTTGCCGTCGTTGCCGATCAGCGCCAAGTCGTGTTCGTGATAGAATATCATAAGTCTGAAAACGTGCGAAATTCGCAATTTTAATACAATAAAGAGTGGCTATAAGAAAACGGGATTTTCTTTTGATAATAACGTAATCTGCAAATCTCTGGTGCGTAATGATGTAGTGCCGTAGTTATCAACTACACAAGCCAATCCATCGAATAATACAATTTTGCACTCCCTATTAGTCGATTAATTCGCGTTCGCGAGTTGATTCAAGTGCATGCTATCGTAGGATATTACCGAAATTATGCCTAATTAAAACACCGAACGTAAATTTTAAATTCATACAGTCTAAAATGTGTCGTTGAATGTAAAAAATATTTTACCTACAGAAAATGATGAAGTTTTTCGTTTTCAAGGTGTCAGATCTAATTTTTCTTCGATTATCTTTTTATTCTTAAATGAGATTTGTATCATTTGCGCACATATTTCATGGCGTTCTTGTTAAACTTTTCTTGTAAAATTTGTCAATATTTATCATGTCTGTAATCATGCGAATACTGAGAAGTCAATGATTTCGGAAAATTTTGCCAATTTTACAATAATTTTGTCAGTAATCGAAGTGTAAGGGTGACCAGAATGACCGTCATTTCCACCTTCTCTCATTCATAATCAAATAGTTTAGATTTGCCACTCAAAAAACTCAAGTACGTGACACGATGTCCAATTCATTTACCGCAGTCAACATCTTCAAACTTTTTGTAGGAGAATTTTTTTTTTTTATATTTAACGACCAATTCTAATTAACACGCTGTTCGATTTAATTATTCAAACGGGATTAAAATGGTAATTATTATTCGATGCATTAATTTGTGTAACTGATATCAAAGCCACCATTACCCACCAGAGAATTGATTACGCTATCATCAGAAGAAAATTCCGTTTTGTTAAGTATCAACACTTTATATCCATATAGGTACACAAGCGGAGTACCCAGTCTGGAAATGGGAATTTTTCAGATGGCCAAGACTGTGTTTTGACCTGATGGCCTGGTAATTTTATTTAATATATTACTTAGGTACTGTTCGTACTATTTAAAATCGTTTTTTTACATTAAGTATTTCGATAGTCTATGAAATTATTGTACAATTATTAATAATGTATCTATCATTTTGAAACAATTTATGAGTAAGCAATGAATACAAAATAGCAAAATATTATATAACAGAAATTAAATGACTGTGTTATAGGTATTGAAACGTACAGAAATGTGAAATAATAAAAGTAATTGAACATTATTAATTAATACTAAATATCAAAAACTAAAATACTAACGATTTATTGATTGTTGAATCTTTATTAAATTCATCAAAATCAGATTTTTATTAAGGTAGACAATTAACTGTTTCTTTAATAAACTCGCAATAGTTTTGTTGTTTTTAAATAGAATTACAATAACAAAACGAAATCAATTTTAACTAAAATCGTTGTTCCGTAAATATTCTGACGTTCTTTATCGATTTTCCCTCATAATCAAGATAAGTATCTGTAAGGATAATAAAAAAATGACCTCTCTAATGCACCAACTAGACAAAATCGGCTACTAAATACCACTCCCGAAGTTAATACAAAGTGGAAACTTTTTTATAGACAGAAAAAAATATATAAATTACACATCATAGTAAAACTAACTTGAACTTTGCTCAATATCTAAAATTCATTAAATATTAACTAACACTCTTTACTATGGATATTACGTTGAATTAAACTCTTAAACTTAAATTTAACCAATTCATCAAAATATTGCTCAAAATAATTTGTAACTACTAAAAATTAAAAGTAATATTAATTTATTTAATTGCTGAAACCTTTTTTTGTACATGTAAGAAAACTATTATTGAAAATATTTTTTGTATTTGTCTGGGTCCATATTAAGACACTTAAATCGATTGTAGGATTAAAACTATATTTGGTATGTATTTTATTGGATGTCCTGGATAAATTGCAATTTTCCAATCTGTATTAAGTTTTCAATCCGCTCCTGTACATATGTCTCGTGAAATACAAGTTCGAGCAGCAAGAGCGGCAATAGTTTGTAAGTCTATCCCCCTATGTTCCTTAATATTAATCTGATAACCTGAAATTAGATGAAAAAAAATCTATCAATCCGTGCGTCTTGAATAGTGGTTAGCAATATGAATGCTATTCGAAATAAAAAAACAACTACAGAACAAAAGTTATTGCATTTTGAAAAATGTTTCAGATCTCCGTGAAACGCTCCGATGCGTGTTTAAAAATGGTTTAATGACAAACCACTGAAATCGGTAAGTAGCCCCAATATATATTATATTTCTGTTATATAGTAATATATATATATAGTGCACGAGTCTTCTATTAAAAAAAAAAAAATACTTTTTGAAACCCGGAGGAATGAAAATTATATTTTACAAGCAATAATATGATGCCACAATAATATCGCTTTAGTGAAAAGTAGTAAACAGTACCTATTAAATTTAACTCAGTTTTCAAGTTTTATTGATATTTCAATGTATATATATACGAAACATCGTTTATCCCCGTTTCATATAGAAGTTTTTAACTTTAAGAAAGTTTGATTGCGGTCGTTACCTCGACCTAGGCACCCCCAACGATCGTTCCACGTGTTCACTGATGGCCGCCACGTATTTTTCGACCGCTTCTTCGGATACTGTTCCCGGCTTTTGCGACCCTCTGGTCAGGTGCATCACCACACAGGGGTCCGCTGACCCGGAAAAGTCGAACACTTGACCGGCGCGCAATTGGCCCATAATCACCTGTTCGAAAGCATGACATCAATAATTGCGGTTATCTGTGAAAACTAATATAACTTTTGTATTACAAATAAAAATAGACGATACCGCGACGGAGATGACGCGGAAGAGCAGTGGCATAACCAATGTGAGTGTTGTAACCCCGTCCCTACTTTTTTTTCTTTTTTTTTTTTAGTAAATGTAAGTTTAAGAAGGTTTTAGATGTCTAAAACCTCCTAGATTCCCCCTGGCCCCTCACCGCTGATAAATCCTGACTACGTCCAATGGTTGTGACTGCGCACATGATACATTGTAAATGCATTGTTGCTTCGTATTCCGGAGTATACCCATGTAACGGGCTCGACGTAAGGACGGATACTGAGAGGAAAAAACATTGAAACAAATCAAAACGGCAACTTGGGTTTTAATTATAGATTAATATTTTCAATAAAAATACAAGTCCAATAATAATAATCTTCACAAAATATACTAAGTCCAAATAACAATAAATAGAGTGACGCGAAATTGTTCGCATTCGATCGTGGTGGACTCGTCTGGTTAGACGATGTTTCGGGCGGCGTTATATATGCTCGGAGGGACCCCCGCGACCCGTTGTTCATAGTCACGGCTATCTGCGTTATTCCATTGCGACAATGTCTCGAATCTCCCGGAATCAATTTGTCTAGGTCGGCTGATGCAATTTTATGTCGAAATTATACATTCGTCTTATCTTTTCTATTTCGTTTCGGGTCCGCACGCGATGCCGTGTTTCTACTTTGGGCTCACCCGTGCTGATGTATAATAAGACGTGTAGGCGCGCAATACCCAAAAGAAAACCATCCGATAAAATCATATAAATCACTGAAATCACTCGAAATTTGAAACGTCATTTGAAACCTGATACAAGCTCAACCTCCTGAAATATATATACGGATAATTAGCATCCTAAAGTAATGGTTCGCTCTAAATAAACGGTCTTGATTGTTTTAAAGGATCTGATTTGTGCATTAAATTTGTATTTGTTGGGTAAAAAAATAATAAAACAGAATACAGTGTGTTTTACACAAATTAGATTACGAGAGATATGCAGGTGATAATGATTCGATCGTTTCACTATACTATTTTTCAAAAATAAATGAATTGTTTTTAATATTTTGTGCTCGGTCAAAACGGCATTATCTACAAAACGCTAAATAAAAACTCGAACATTTCAAATGACTTGAAAATAGCCGGAAAGCGTTTAGAGAGAACTGATGTTTGTATAATTTAGTGAAAACGTTTAGTATAATTGTTTTTAACATTTAGAAACACCTCTAAATGCTCCTTTCGGTCCCGGGATATTTTTCCCGATCGACTAGAATATTGTTTACTACTCTTTGGATCAGTGATTTCCGGAATAAGTCCGTGCCGATAAGCGAAAAAAATATTTAGAGGTGAATCGGTCTATCGGATCAATCGTATTTATTTTTTTTCTTTCTTCTGTTTAACTAAGTTAGCAATAGTCATTGTTAACAGAAATGTTAACGCGTTCAAGTCGACTTAAACCGGTCCGTAATAACATACGTAGACCGTGATACACGGTGGACTGCGGCGGTGTTGTCGCGGAATTAGAAATCGATCGGTCGGAAGACGATTTTGTAAAAATCCGTCGTTCGGCGAAAGTCTCAGCCATGCGACGTGATCGAGATAATTTGATGTCAAACTACATAACAATGTGTTACGCATTACCTTTTTGGGTCGGTTGAATAGCGCACACAGGAAGTCGGAAGTGTCGGCCAGGAAACGATCAGGTATTCGGCCGGGTTCCAAGTTCGTGTCGATCGTGTAACTCATGTTTACGCCGCCGGCGACAGTACAATAATCAAATAATATTTAATGATAAACGGGTGTAGGTGATCTAATGATATTATAGTCACGACTGATGGACGGTACGGCAGTCCGTCGCAAAAGTTTTCGATGACCTCCACACTCTTGACCCCGAAAATATTCTAATTTTTTTTTTATTTTTTATTTTTATTATTTTTTTTTTTTTTCATTACTCCGTTATTACGACCGCGGTCCGTTCTGACCGACACCGACATCTCGGTAAGTGCGTAGGCAATTCATCTTACTCGCCCGAGTGCGGGATTCACGCGGAGAAAAAAAACCGGGCTGACTGTTTAACCGCAACAGTAGTATACGTTACAAAGTAATCGGTAAAAACGACCAAATCAAAAGTGGCAAGAGTAAAGTGTGACTAAAATTTGATCATACTATACGTCCTTTTTGAGACAAAAAAAATACTCAAAACAAACCCGGGTCGATGAAAAAATTGAACATTTTTTTCCGTGGCCATTTTCGATTTGATCATTTTTACCTAAACTCGCGATACCAGTGATTTTCATGGAAGATTTTAAACACTATTTCACATTTTTACCCGCCTATTACTTATATCTCAAATAAATACATACTTTTCCAATAGATATTTCTCTTTTAAAATAATATAGATTCGAATAAATAGTATATTTTCTATACATTTTGATACGTATGGCCACATAGCCGTATAACTTCTTCTTCTCATTCGCGTTTATCTCAACACATAACAAGTTTAAAATAGTTATATTTTTAACAGTGTAAAATTGAGACCAGAGGTATAAAAAAGATGATTTATGAACTTCATATTCAATTTTAGATGATAAATAATTGACTACCCTTCTCTCTATTCAAATGCGCTTCTGAAAATTTCTAAGAAAATCGTTGGTTTTATGTACGATTTGAGAAAAAAAAAAAATCTGAAACGGTGACTATGCGAATAAGTTTTGAAATACGACATTATTAATAACTGTTTGGAAATTTTTTTTTCGCTATCCAGAATACTGATTAGGAATAAAACAAAATATATCCTTTCAACGGCTTAAAATACGCAAACAATTTAACATGTTTATTTACCGATCTTGTTCTCGTGTATTATTTATTTATTAGTTTATGTATGTATCCTTGTAAAATCTTGTCTTGACTAATTGAGAATATCGGCAAACCAGATCAAATTTTTTCTTCTTTGCGGGTCCAGCAAAACGGTTTTTTTCTTTTAATAATTATTTATTTCGCAAACAGTATTCTTGATTTTCGATATACATACGAACGTTAAATCAAAATTATTTCGACAGACAACAAGATAAAACGATGTATTTTTTTCATTATTACTGTTCAACGACATTCCTACATTACATCATATACCATAGAGCGTATAATTTTTTTCTTTTATTATTATTATTCTAACGAGATACGAATACGAATTACATAATACCTATTAGATACTATTGGATAGATTAGAAAAAAAAAAAATAATAATAATAATAAAAAAATGGTTAATTTATCACGCGGTGTGTTATCCGTGCGATGATTTTTTTATTTTTCAGTTCATTAGAACCAACGCGTACGTGTCGTGCAATTTACGAGCGTCATCGAAATACACCTAACTGCTATACGATCAATAAGTCTTGACAAATTTCATGATTTTACGTTTTGGGCGAACGGAGTGCCTACACAATAAAATGGGTGTACGCATTAACACGTCATTCTAAAACGGTAAAATTGTACAGTATATTATAATATATATGTATATATGTATGTATATCATTTGCACAGCTCCCTTGGAGTCCCGTTTAAGATAGTTTTCACTGTTGTATAATTCGATTGGAAAATAATAGAAACACGAACATCACGTTGTTATATCACAACAATTGACTAATTAATGTAATTTTCAATCATTTCGTTTGATCGCGTTCTGTTCGAATTCAAATAGTTACGGACGGTTAAAACGCGCGTTTTAAACTAATAATGAACTATTTCAATTAATACTATTAACGTTAACGTTTTTTACACGGTTCCGGTGCTACAAATAACGTTCGAAGAAATCAATGGGTATTTCAGAAATCATTGAAAAATGAATACCGCGAAGGTGCCAGTCGTGCACGGATAAGCCAGAACCCACTAATACGGGATGTGCAGAAACTAAACCCAATGGATAACGAATGAGACGTTTCGGAATGCTGCGCGAGACTGCTTTTGGGAGTGAATAAAATTGAAAAACGCTAGCGATTAGTACCTATGAAGATGGCCGGGGGAACGGTAACGAGATGGAATAGTTATACAAACCGAGCAAATCCGTATTACAATAATACCTACCGAATAAATGGATATTATCAAAAATACAATTATTTTTGTTGAGTTTTCACCCAAAAATATATATTGTTGTATTATATACTGGCCGTCCCTCACGAATCCGCTTCATAAAATTAATTCCCTTACCGTTATTATTAGACAATCAAATTCAATTATTAAAACCTATAAGTACTATTTAGTAGTATATACAACGATTTACCGTCGTATTATGATTTAACTAGCCTATCCAGCGATACTTAGCTATTGTTAGATAACAGTGTAAATAATAGTAATATTAATAATAATAATAATAATAATAACGGTTTTCTTGTCTATGACGACCAAATCGTCATCCGCGTCACAAAGGTAACCCGCGAATAAAAAAAAAAAAAATCAACAATTAGATATTCTTACCTAAAATACCACAAAAACACATGCGTTACTTCCTTCGGGGTTAAATCCTCAAAAATATTTTCTTAAAGTGGATACGTCATAATAGTCGTCTGTTTGCCCGATTTCGGTACGATCCGTCCCGTGGTTTTTGTTAGGCGATAATGAATCAATCAATCAGTGATTCAGGATATATAATATCGACGCATTCTGTAATCGTAGTCTATATCGTAATTGTAATTGTGTAAGAGCTGGTATTGGTGATGGGAGCGGCCACTGTTGTAGGTGAGAAGTTGGGAAGGTAGGATACATAAGGTTATTTCATTTATATCTGTAAGCAACGATAAACCATTGCTTGGCGAAAGACGATTCCGAGCGTAATTCGGTTATTCATAATTTGAAGTGCTGTAATTTTTGTTGCGATTTTCGTTTAAATTTGATTTCAAAACGCTTATAAGAAGAAAAAAAAAGTCGCGCGATCGTTTTGGAAATTTTACCGCGTCTAGGTAAGTCCAATATAAGTATTATTATCAAGTTTCAAGTCTCTACGTACATTTATAATCGAATTACAGCAAAAAAAACTCCCAAAAATTAAGTTTCCTTAAAGGTGGCTTAAAAGTTTTGGCAATGATACCTTAAGAAAGTAAATCAAAAATACGCCTTTATTAGGTGTTATGTGATTTTTCGATTAAATCATTTTTTCTGGTATAAAACGTCGTCCGTGTTTTTATAAAGTAATGAAACGGTGAAATTGTACGTTTTCCTACGTTTTTTCCCACTCAAGTGCTTTTATTTAATTAATCACGTCGAAAATCATAAAATAACCTGTTTAAAGTACAATCTAGACAACTTGAGCTTTCAAAAAAGATGCATCGGAGCAAGTTTACTTGGAAAAAACGTGTCTACAAACTAAAAGAAAGAAAGAAAAAAAAATAAATAGAAACAAACAGCTTTGTAAAACCAATAGCTCCTTCGCTACGCTCGGCATCTAAAACGTATATCATACACGTGTTACACATAGTATTGTAGCGCGCGTAAGAATTTTCTAATCGAAATAAATAATTCAGTGTAGAGTTTTAGGTTAAAAAAAAAAATCTTTTTATCAATTATTTGTTTTATTGTGTATTTATATAAATGCGCATATGTTTGTGTTAACATCAGAAAATATTTTGAACACATATCCGACATTATGCGCTGTACAATATTAGATAATGTTATACAATTGTATTGTTTTAAGCGTTTAAAGAGAATGTAAATACGAATTCCAAAAATAACAAAACAGGACGTGAATTACATAATTTGAATAAATAATTAACTCGTTTGCCCGAATCAAGGTAAATACACGAGAATTCCTTCGGTCAAAAGTTATGATAATAATATAAATGAAACTCGTGTGATAAAACTTGAAAGATAAAATGCAAAAACTAAAAATATCAACTCTTCTCGGTAAAAAAAAAAAGTTTGTTTTTCTTTGTTGTTTTGTTTCGACGGATTCGGTTTTACTCAAGCGAAAATATTATAAAATCCGAACTAAACCGGGGGACGCCTGAAAAAAAAAAAAAAAAAACCAATCCTTTGGCCTCGTCTGCCGTGTTGTGTGCGACCAATGTTTTTATAGTAGATAATTGCGGTCGGACAATAGGTAATTAAGTTGTGAACTAGTGCCGATTCCTCGAGCTAGGTTTCGGTCGAGGAGTTGAATTAATTATTTTAGATTTTCGACACATACAAAACAATTACATACGAATCAAAACCAGTGACGACATACCTGTGTGCATATTATAATATTGACATTTTCCCGGTATTTAAAAAAGGCGAATAGTCATAATTATTATTATTCGCGCGTGTTCGTTATCTTATTGCCACGGTTAAATAACAAAAGTGTCGATGTATCGTATCTGAATATTGTTGATATCAATATTAACATAATTTTATCGCGATTCAACAATGGGAGACGTGATATTCGAAATGAAAATCAGACCGTTTTATCAAAATAATTTTGACATACAAAAATCCAACTAGACAAACATATATAACACAAATATTTAGACGGCGAAACGTAACTTTTCACAAATGCTTTTATACAGGGTGTTGTTACTGTGGTATTGAATTTGAATAAACGTAATAATAAGAACGAAATTACATTGGGCGGTATGCACGCCCGAAGGACCCAGTACGAGCTCCCGGTGTATGATGGAACAGAACCAGTGTGGGAAAAACCTCTGAGAAGGCCCGAAACAAGTTGATGAGATTTAAAAAAGAAAAAGCGATAAAAAAATGTGAAACAACTTGGCGGAGATTCAAAAGGGAAAGGGCATGAGTATAATGAACGACGGTACGTACGGTACGATGGACGATCGGGTCACGTGAAATGTAATT